ATCAAAAACTCTTTTCCCCCTTTTAAGCGCCGACATCTTGCTAACAATAAAAGATTGTGACCATGAATAATAGATTCAGATGATTCTGATCACATGACTGGGGACACTCTCATAAAATTTCAAAAGATCACCAACCCCAAATTTGTTAGACTTGCCTATAAATCTCAATCCAAGATTGTTGAAAAGGAAGTTACAAAAATCTCCAAGGAAATTCAGCTTTCATCAGTGTTATATATTCCCCAGCTATAGTGCAAATTACTTCCAACTTGTTCATGACTTGAACTGAATTTTTAAATTCTATGCTAATTCTTGTGAATTTCAGATGGTGGATTCAGAAAAGTGATTGGTAGTACTAAATTGCATCAAGTTCTATACCTGCTAAAGAAGAATTTATTCCCTCAACACACAATCTTTCCTCCATTATCCCTTGATATCAGAGTTAACCAAACAAGTGAAACAACTAATAAGACAATCTTAAGCTAGGATGTAGACCATAATTGATAACGGTGGTGGTTGGCGAGGTCTTGGAAGGTAGTGCAGGGGTGGAAAAAGTGGTTGGGAAACAATAAATAGCAAAACGACTGTTTACCCGAGTCCCAAAACCTGAATGTTAAAAGTGGAGGGTTGCGCTACGTAATCGACAGTCAGTGTAAAATTTGTCGAAAAATCATGACATGAATCATTTTGATCAATGTCTAAATGCTAGGGCATCCCTTGAAGTGAAGCACTGTATGACATGAATACAGTGAAAAGCGTGCAAGGATCGCTACACCGACGCCCGGGTGTAGTGTTAAATAAACAAGAGTTTCACATTACGAACGGATACAGATAAAAAAATTAGTCCATAAAATTAATATTATAATAGGATCCTGGAATATAGGTACTCTAATAGGTAAATTAAATAAATTAGTTAATATTATGATTCATAGAAAGATAAATATTTGATGTATTCAAGAAACTAAAAGAATTAGAGAAAAGGCTAAGAAGATTGATAACTTAAGTTTTAAACTTTAGTATTCAGATAAGTGTCGCACAAGAAATGGTGGTGTAATTATAGATAAGAGCTTAAAAGATAATGTTGTAAAAAATAATAGAATTTGAGATAGAATTATAGCCCTTGAGATTATTGTTGATATTAAGTGCTTATGATCCTCAAGTAGGTATAGATATAGATTCTAAAGAAAATTTCTAGAATGACCTAGAAGACTTAATACAAATGATACCACTTGAAGAAATAATTTTTATTGAAGGAGATTTAAATGGACATGTCGGTAGAGTGGTAGAAGATTTAGAAATATTCATGACAACTACAGTTTTGGAGTGATTAATGAATAA